TGCCTGGAGAGACTCCCGTCCCTGTTGTCCCTGGCGAGACGCCGGTTCCCGTTGTGCCCGGTGTTGTGCCCGGCGAGACGCCAGCTCCCGGTGTGCCTGGCGAGACCCCGGTTCCAGCCGTCCCTGGCGAGACTCCCGTCCCTGTTGTCCCTGGCGAGACCCCGGTTCCCGTTGTGCCCGGCGAGACTCCCGTCCCTCTTGTGCCTGGCGAGACTCCAGTTCCCGTTGTGCCCGGCGAGACGCCAGCTCCCGGTGTGTCTAGCGAGTCTTCCATCCCTGCCGCTGAGGCTTCCACCACCCCAGTGACTGGCCCTAAAGGACCAGGCTCTGGTGGTCCCCCCGCTTCGGTTCCTGCATATACCCCTGCTCCTTCAGGAACTGTTGGACGCCCATCCCCTACGGGCGCTTTTACCCGTGTCACTCCTACCTTCACTAGCGTGGTCACTGTCTGCAATGCCGCCTGCCAGGGATCTAAGACATCTACCGGCCTTGTGGCTCACACTTCCCCTGCCTCCGGTGGTAGCGGAAGCAAGCCCAGCCCCAGTGCTAGCCCCAGCCCGAGCATCATTCCGTTCAACGCGGCTGGCCGTGCTACTTTGTCCTGTCTTGCCGTGGTGTTCGGAGCTCTCTGCGCTGTTGCTATGCAGATCTAAGTCGATCTGAGTTTACATACTGGTACAGGCGGTAGTGGTGGTGACAGTTGGGATCGCTCAGTGTTGAGATTTATGGTTCTTGTTGCGTTCCACACATCTGTCCGTCTTTCCTTTTTCTCCTTCTATTTCAATGGTTTAAATCAGCATGAGTTAATATAATTCCACGATATACGTCTATGAATTCATCTTGTTGTTCTCGCGATTAAAGTTATCCATGTGTACAATTTGACTTTATGGGCTGTCCGGACACCACCAAGGTTAGTATGTGCGCCCAAGGGTGGAGGTGTCTGTAGAGTTTAGCACTCACACGGGTGTTGCTATCGGGCCGACGTTAGCTTCCGCTATAAACAGTTTATGCCAACCTTGGAAAGTCTTTATAAAAGGATCAAAAAATTGAACATAAAAAAAAAAAAATAGAGCGAATTTTACAGCCAAATCCATTCGGTAAAATTAGAAAAGGCCGAGGAATCAAAATGTCAAAAGGCAAATGCGAAAAAAAATCCTCTGACCCGGGATCGAACCAGGGACATCAAGATAAACAATGCGAATGGGCAATTACAGTCTTGCGCTCTTCCAGCTGAGCTATCAGAGGATACTACTGAGCAACTATCAGCCTTTAAAACTAATAAGAAAATTTCAAGAGCAGATACTAGACCTACTGCATCTCTGAAGTACGAAATCCACGAGACCTTTCGAGTCTCCCTTGTCGAATATGCTTCACACAATCTCGCTAATCCGAGCTCCGAGCTCTGATAACCTGGTATTTCAATTCTTTACATGCTCAAGCGTTGTGGCTTAATCACCCCACTTAAGACAGCCTCACCACAATGAAGTCAAGAATAATAATTTGACCTTAATTCTAGAGCCTCGTTCCCTAAGCATATTATTTCTGCCGTGAGGGCAATGGAGAGTCTACTTGCGCAGCTGAATTATCTGTGTGTGAGAGTAGGACATTAAGCCCTGCCTTCCCCACTCGCCTCCAATCCCACTCTGCTTCCAACCAGAAAGGTAGCCATGTGGGTTGGGGTCTTCAGCGCTATTGATCCATACTGTTCCAACTTCGAGTCTCCGCGCAATGCGCTCCGCCTTGGCAACATCTTCCGCCCAGACGCAGCCCCCTAAGCCAGTATCTGTCCCATTGACGTTCGAAATCAATTCATCCTCAGCAGACCACTTCATAAGCGGAATGACAGGACCAAACTGTTCCATTTGGACGATCTGGGAATCATGTGGCGGTTGATCCACAACGACGGGTGCGATGAAAAACCCTGGGTGCTCGTCGGTGCTTCCCCCACAAAGCAAAGTGTAGTTGTTTTTCTTGCAATCCGCGATGGCATCCTTAACCACTTTGTACTGTACCTCATTCTGGATGGGACTGAACATAGGTGACTGGTCACCAGAAAGGTCGATTTTGATTTGCTTGACTGCCTCCACGAAAGAGTCCCGGAATTCTTGGAAAATAGCCTCGTGCACATAAACCCTTTTTGTACCAACGCACATTTGCCCCGAATGGAGGAAAACTCCCGCAGCAACCTTAGCAGCAACGGTTTTGACATCAACGTCCGGGCAGATGATACTTCCGTCGTTTCCACCAAGCTCGAGTGTCACTCGTTTTAGAGTCTTGGCTGCGCTTTCCGCTACCTTTTTCCCAGTCGCAATGGATCCGGTGAAACTAATCTTGTCTATGCCTGGATGAATACTAATGAGTCTTCCAATGTCGTCATCTCCATTAAGCGCCTGGAGGACACCCCGCGGAAGCACTGATGTCGCAAGCTCAGCGAATTTCAAAGTGGCACATGGGGTGGATGGCGATGGTTTGACAATGATGCAGTTTCCCATGACGAGCGCTGCAGAAACCTTGGCGACAGCTAACAAGAGCGGAAAATTCCAAGGACAAATCGCACCCACCACTCCTATAGGATGATGCGTTGACACGATCTTGAGCTTATCGTTTTCGTAATCAACTTTATCAGGCAATGACTGAGATGCTGGACCGGTAAGCTTTTCCAGCTAAACAATATTCTGAATTTAGATTTACATACCATTAAATCTGATGTGGGCCAAAGTATCGTTAATCTCCATGTCTGCGAGGAGGTTCTGAGAAGTTTATGAGCAACACTTCTGATACTCACAACATGGAAGGTCTCTGTTACCGATTTTCCGGTCTCCCCTGCCAAAGGGGCATGTATTTCATTTCTTCGCTGTTCTAGCTCATCGGCTAGCTTCAGTAGGTACCTTTGTCTTTCCCCGACAGATAAGAGCTTCCATGATTTAAATGACACCCTTGCAGCTTCGACTGCGAAGTTAAGTTGCGTCTCATGTGCGACTGGCACATCCCAGAGGGCTTCATTGGTCCTGGGGTTTGTGACTGTTGCAGAATCCCCGGCTCGGCGCTCCGAGTCGATAATATTGTAGAACATTTCGAGATCTTGGGAAAAGACTGCGACTCAACAAGGGAACCTCATATAGCCGACAGCTGAATTAAATATTGAATGCCAGGTGAGTACTGGGTTGACGCCACATCTGTGACGGGAGTCCTACATCATTTTCACATCGAATCGGATATCAGGAGAGCGGGCCGAGTTTGGAGACCTCGGATGTAAACGAAAATAGGTTCTATAATTATCTCGTTGACGTCGAGATTATGTCGAAGGATACCGAGAGGGAAATATGCCCGAGGTGTGGAGGATTGCCGGCGGAGAAGAAATTTCCAGAGGTCACAACTCGCATCTACTTTCAGTTCTTATATGTAAATACAAAAACTACGCTGATTTGCCCTGGAAATAACTCTGAGTTTGCCGTTGGATGTTAACATTCCGGCTATGTATTAATTACATTAGTTATCCCTGCCCAAATTTCTAAGTTACGATGAGCTCCAGTTCAGAACAAAGAGTGTCGTCGTATTTGATACTCAGGAAGCACACAGATCGTCAGAATGACAAAAATGTGAGCACTTGCCAGTTGCATGGGTACTTAGCGAATGATGAATGGATACTCCGGAAATGGAGTATAAAAATAGGCAAATTCTCCAGGGCTTTCATCAAAATATTACGCACCCTCCTTCATCAACCGAGTTGAGAGAGTAGGGTCCGCGCCATTGTGGACTGGACATGAAGCATCCTTAATAAAATCATCCGACGCGCTTTGGATGGCATCCGGCACTCAGTTTTCGTCCGAAAAAGTTCTTGCAGCCATCCAGGTTCCATCTCCCTGGTCTTCCCAAATCCAGGCCGTAAGATCGTCGGAGTTGCTCACGCAGCCTTGGATGCCAGACTTGATCGCGTCCTGTGTGGCCCAATCTCCGCTCACAATCACCTTGTACATCCAGTCCTTCGTGGAAGAGAGTTCATCTTCAAAGATCACTTCACATGTGGCCGACCTCGTCGCAGAAGGGGTAGGTGTGGCTGAGACCAATCTTGTTGAGGTAGTTTTGGCCGTGGCCGATATCATGGATTGTGATACTGATGGATGCGGGTGGTCCTCCATCCAGTCATCATAGTCCTCACCCACATACTCGCACTTCACATCCATGGGATCACTCCCGAATTGCGCATAGTTTGCCTGAGGATAGACTGTCGGCATCAATCGAGTCGCCCTGCGTCACGGTATCGTGTTCAACGTCATCGTCGAGGTCAGTCGAATCAGTCTGCGTGTCGCGCTTGATTTCGTCGTGAAGGATCTGGAAACTCCCGTCACTTTTCCAGTCGAAGTAATAATTAAACCAATTGAAACTCAGGAGCCATGCATAACTATCAGCTGCCATCAATGTCAGCTCCGTCTGTTTCTGTTTCCTTAAATGTGGAAGTTTCATAATCACCATTCATCTTCAAATTCGTATTAATACTGTTGTACTTTTTGAAACTGTATAGCCCATTTTCCCGTGCGTAGCTGCCGCAATAGTCGGGCCCACTGGCGTTTGAATCGTCCCAACGGGTCGTATCTCGGACTTAATGTGGAACTGTGGAACTGGGTTTTAAGGGCTCGGTCGCAACGGAAGAACTCGTGTGTCATAGCATGCGCTTTAGTGTATAGCACCGGTAGCTCCGAAATGGGCATCACGCGGCCGTAAGTCACTTCATCCAGATCCTTGTATTTGTTTTCGAAGAATGGGGGATAAAAAACTACAATATCGCTGTAGCCATCACGATCGGCGAGGCCTCCTGGGACGCGGAATGCGCTCCTACACGAATCATCATCGAGGAAGAACCGGTTTCAGCCAGGGGTTTCGCAGGGTTATGGTTTCCCGGGGGTCCCAGGAGAAGCTTATGCGATTGGTCAAGAGTCTTGACTAACGTATCGAATTGCTCGGATGAGCATGTATTCACAGCATCGGCAAAATATATGCCCTTCCATTTGGCATGCAAATAGTTTAAGTCGGGTGAACCTCTCTCGAAATGGGACGTAGTCTCGTCGGTCAACACTGGAGTAGCGGTTGATTGATTCACAGAAAGAGAAAGATGCTGACGAGTAGCAATTGTAAAGCCATATTGCACACGAGCCAGTTTCCGTTTCTGAAGGTTGCTATGGACAACTAACCGGCGTTCTCCGTCTCTTCAAACGTATTTCCATCTACGGAGTACGATGTGCAGTGCTTTATTAGGAACCACGTCATCTAGCTAAAGCCTACAGGAAGTACGTACCGTTTAAGCTGTTGTGGATTGATTCCTGATTGGTGCCTCAGGTATGGACCACTCGTAGATAGTTATGTAGTTAGCTTGGGAACTCGCTCCTTCTCTCGCAATACAACTCTCTCCTTTCTGATCTTTAGTGTCTAGTCCCCGACAGGAGCCTTGAGCCTACTTTCGACTGATCAGGTAACTTCTCCTCATATCATTTGTCATGAGTATGATGTGGATGCTAGGCTGGCTTCTGCTCTGGGTCACCCTGGCTCTCGCTATGGACGACTATCGTATGGGAGACTCTCTTCGTGGCCTTCAAAGGTTTTACTGGTGCTAATGTGAGAAATTCTGTTCTGCCTACAGCCCTCGGGGTTAACTTCGGATTTAAGTACATGTACGTGCGTCTGATTTTATCCCGAGACCTTGGTTACTGAACAGGCAATTTCAAACTAGCACGGCAGCTTACTACACGGTATCTAATGAATCAATCACGGTGGCGAAGCTCGAGGCACCAGCGGACTATCAAAAGCACATGGAGAATCTAGTCACTGACTCTCAAAAAAGAGTGTAATTCAACGCATCCCGAAGGCCCGGTGAAGGTGGAACCCAAAGCTAATATATATCATGTTTTTCCAGTGTGCAGTTTCAAAAGGTCTATTTATGGGAAGGAAATGAACTCATACCAGCACCGAAGGAGTGTCAAGGAGAGCAAGGATGATAGTATGGTTCTCTCCGATACTCTGCGGGATAGTCGGAGCGGCGAGCCGCACGTTAGGTTACCCTGTTAGGCTTTCAGACGTTAGTCTTCCCTCAAAATTGGACCTCATCGCCAGGCATCTCACCTTCACAGCTCTAACAGGCACGGATTTGGCAGCGGAATTGACGGACCCATGGCAGCTGCTAGAGTTTCTCAATGCTGCTCGCTTAGCCTACGGTCTCGATACGCCCGAGAGTCTTGGGTACCCCGCCGGCTTTGATTTTGTACACGGTCCATTGAATATTGCCGTTTACATTGACTACAACGCTTATTCTCTGGATTTGTGGACCGCAGATCTCACAGGACTCGGAGTCAACACACTTGGACATGAGCATAGCTACGCCCGCTACCCAGAGTTGGGACTATGGAGGATCGATCCGGCGGATTCAGAGGTTTGTTCTTTTCATTGGTTCATTATATATAAACCCTAACCTATTGACTATCAGAGCCGGGTGTCGCAGGCCATCCAACATTTCATCTCTAATCTGAAGACTACGGATGACGGGAATCACGTTCGAGCGGTCATCGTCAGTGGCGAAGCACCCTCGTTTGCGACGAATTCTCTCCGGTCCAGCATAATTGAATGGGGATTCTCAAGGTGGTTGAATCATTTCCATTCTTCTCACGTGCAAATGTAGATGTTACCGCCTACAGTCGAGCGCATAAAGCCGTGGCCGCACTCGAGGTGATACAGCGTCGGGAAATACGAAGGTCCCTAGTATTTGAATAACTTTCCAACACAGAGTCAAAGAGGGTATATTCTGTATGCTTAGATGCTGGAGCACCTTCTGGAGTAACTACTGGGGTAACCTGTTACCAAATCCTGTAGCTTTGGGATGACTCAAAGTGAAGAGACAGACTTATTAGCAGGGACCGTGTGAATTTAGCTTTACCGAGAGCGACGGCAAGAGTTATGCGTTTACCCCCTCAGGTTCCAAAGAGCAGCGATGAGAGAGACGGCGGCTGCAGAAAGCTCTTGCTAGAACTCTCGCTAAAGACCCTGACAATGCCGAAATTCGGGTTACAATCCTGACTTCGCTTACTTCATCCGATGCATCCTTCCCTGGTCCTGTAATAACACTGCCCGAAATCAACAAGGTCGTGCGAGAGAGACCCAGTCATCCCAGGGGGCTGCCGTCGTCCCCGCTGGCTCTACTACCCTGCATATGTAGCTAAGGCTGACTTCATTCATCTCTACCAGAGCATGGAAGTGCGTGGCCTTCCAGCGGGTCTCATCTGTTACTTCTCATCTCTAGTGATTTTGATTCCCCCTCTTTAGCATTTTTCTTTGTGTATCTATATTCGTCCACAGCATAATGTGTTTGATTCTACCACGATATGTCCCTCTCTTAGCTACATTCTACGAGTGATCAGTCACTTTTGTCAGATATCCCCTCAGAAGTTTTACGGCGCTCATTTGTTTCATGATTGTATATCTCCCTGGTTTGGTTTCTGGGTGGAGTTTTGGTGGCAACCGGCTTACTCGGCGCATTCGAGGATCAGCGAACTCAAATTGATTTAACCACGACTAACATTTACTCGAGATATATCAAACAGGACAGTTTTCACCAGCTCTTGGAAGATCGCAGCGTAATCACCTATAGCTAGCAGTATCCATAATGGCATCATGGAAACAGAGGAGTAAGAAAACTGTGGCTTCTGTTCTTCCGGAGTGGGATCAAATCTAGACTTGTAACTTAACCCTGTAACTGAGCAAGCACTAGGCTGTACACAATGATCGGCAGACTTGGTGTATGTAGTAAATACTGTTGTATGGCGGAGGTCTGCTGACCTCCGCTCGATGGGCCGCTCCCGCAAAAAAAAAGTTGCGCCGAGCAGCTCCACGCGACCACATCTCCCCTCCGCATCCCCCGCGACATCTCTCTCGCTGCCTCGCCCCTTACCTCCAAGCCAAATTGGCTTCATTACAGGCCCGCGGTAGTCTGTTGACCGCGGCTTTTCGCGCAGTCCCGCGCGCATTTCCTCGGACGGCCTTCGCGACTTCGATTCAGCACGCCGCATTTCGCAGCGTCACGCCCACGCCGAAGCGCAATCGACCATCTAAGGGATCAAGACATACTTCCGCCACTCGGACTCCTTTTGTACATGATTTCCACCGCAAAAGACCTCTGACTTTACTTCAAAAGCGACAAGAGAAGTTCCGAGGGCTCGACCAGCACGTTAAGCAAGATCAACGACGCATCAGCCCCGATACCCGCATCCTCCACACCCATCGAGCTGGGAAAGTAGAATACGTCCTTTGCAAACCATCGCTATTGAAGCTAGAAGAAGAGCGACGACCGCCTTTCGCCCTAGCTCGCCCAATGAAGTTCTACTGGCAGGTCTTGACGACCCCAACGGCCGACACCCCCGGCACGTTCCTCAGTCTACATTTCCCCGAAAAGAGATACATTTTTGGTCAGATCTCAGAGGGAACGCAGCGAGCCTGTGTTCAGCGCGGTACAAAGCTTAGTGGACACCTGAGTCACCTCTTCATTACTGGTCGGACGGAATGGGCTAACAATGGCGGACTGATTGGCGTCATCTTGACCGTTGCGGACGCAACTGCGGCGACCAATGCAGCCTTGGAAGATGTGGCGCGCGTAAAGATTCAGCGCCGTGCCAATGAGCACCCAACGCAGGAAGGAGCTGCCCACCCGCGCGACCCTACGAGTCAGATCGATGCAGCCGTCGAGAAAACGCATTTGAATATTCATGGAGCGACAAACCTCATGCATACCATGGCCACGGCCCGGCGATTTGTTTTCCGGAAGGGTATGCCCGTGTATATGAACGAGTACAGCGCTAAGGAGATTGAGAAGCAACTCCCTGTCGATGCGGAAGACCCGTTCCAGGAGCCCACTTGGTGTGATGAGAACATCAAGGTCTGGATCCTTCCAATCAAGCCTACCAAATCAAGGACACCTTCTCCATCCCGACCTCAGAACCCCCGGAAGCGAAGCTTGGACGAGTTCCAAGAGGTTGTCGACCCGGAAACGCAACAAGCTCAAGATAATCTCCTTAGACAATCGGTCGTCCATGATATGTTTAACTCGACTTGGAAGATGGACTCTCTCGTTGAGACTCCGTTGTCACAGGTGAAGATGCCCGCGACATTGTTCGTGCGAAACCCAGAAACCAAAGACTTGGAACAGTACAAGGGCCCGGCCCCCGGTGACAACAAGCCTCTTCCCAATATCAACGTACTCGTTCGGAAGCCTTGGCCGGGTGCGACTGTGGAGACTCTGCCGCCTACTACACCCTCCAAGGAGGCGCTGTGCTATATTGTGCGCAACTACGACGTTCGTGGCAAATTCGACGTGAAGAAAGCCAAGGCTTGCAACGTTCCAAGCGGCCCTCAATACGCTAAGTTGGCACGTGGAGAAAGCGTCACGTTGGACGACGGCACAATTGTCACTTCAGACATGGTGCTCGGCGCCCCGAGACTAGGTCAAGGAGTTGCTATCATGGAGGTTCCATCTCCGGATTATCTCGATGATGTTGTTAGTCGGCGGGAGTGGAAGTCTCCCACGGTCATGTCCGAGCTGAAAGTCTTCTTCTGGATTCTTGGCCCAGGTGTTGGTGAAGACCCCAAGTTCCGCGGTTTTGTGGCTAGCATGTCTCACTATAAGCATCTGGTGTCTGGCACTGACTACTGCCCGAATTACCTGGCACTTGAAAGTTCCGCTGAATCTGCTATTCGGCTAAACCGCCTGAATGGCGACAACTACTCGATTCCTGTCCATGACAACGGAATTCTGCCCCAGCGTGGAATTGCAGGCAGTCCTCCGCTGGGAACTATCGACCACAGGAACCTTCCGTTCGAGCCGGTCAAGCCTGGCCTTATCATCGATATGGAGCCTAACTTCAAGCTGAACACTTCGGAACTTGTGCAGCCTGTCAACACTGCCATGACTGTGCGTGTTCCTCGCGCAGTTGCGAAACGCCTAGAAACCATCAAAAAGCGTGTCGTGAAGCCCGAGTTCAAGAAGAAATATGCTGAGTTCCGAGAAACTCTCCCTGGCGCGGACGCCGAGATTATTGCTCTAGGAACTGGCTCCTCTGCCCCGTCCAAGTATCGCAATGTCTCTGCGACCTTGCTTCATGCCCCCGGATATGGTTACTATCTTCTTGATTGTGGTGAGGGCACTCTAGGTCAACTGAAGCGGGTTTTCGAACCCGAGCAGCTGCGGGAGGTGTTCCAGAATCTGCGTATGATCTATATCAGCCACCTACATGCTGATCATCACCTGGGTACTATTTCTGTTATTCGCGCTTGGTATCATGAAGTCTACGGCATCGATGCTAAACCAGCAGCGCACCCCGAGACCGATCTTGCTAAGATTCTCCAAGAGAAGCGGCTATGTGTTGTCTCCGACGAGATGATGATCACTTGGTTGGAGGAATATGCATCCGTCGAGAACTTTGGCTTTGACAAAGTGCTACCTCTCTCCGCCCACCCTGAAGTCTCCGGCCAAACCATCGCCACTATATTGAGCTACCGCTTCAAGCAAGATGGCGGCCCGCCGTTCGGAGTTCCGAAGACCAACAAGATACCCCTCAGTTTCCTTCGGGAATCCGACCCTCTCACTCCGCTCCTTAAGTCCGCCACCGGTCTCAGCGACCTACTCAGTACAAGGGTGCGCCATTGCCGCGGTGCTCTGGCTGCGTCTTTCGTCTTTCCAGATGGGTTCAAGGTTTCCTACTCTGGCGACTGTCGTCCATCAGACAAGTTCGCTTCCATCGGTGCAGGCTCCACAGTCTTGATCCACGAAGCCACCTTCTCAAACGACATGGCCGGTTCCGCCCTCGCCAAGCGCCACTCAACCGCATCCGAAGCCCTAGAAGTCGGCAAGCGCATGAACGCCCGCTCCATCCTCCTCACACACTTCAGCCAGCGCTACCAGAAAATCGCACAGATTGAGCAAGACTCTAAATCAAACGGAAAGCTCCAGTATTCCCCTTCACGCGCGGGTGCTAAGGCACAGGACATCGAGATCAAAGGTCTAGGTGCGGACCCAGATATCCCCCTCGATGACGAGGGACCAGAGGAGGAGCCCTCCTCTTCCACGCAGTCCGGCTACGAACTCCTCGATGACATCACCTTCCCAGAACCAAAGCGACCCGGCCTCTCCACCAAGGGTTGCCGTGTCCCCGGCAAAGACTTCCCCGTCGCCGCCGCAATGGACTACATGCGTATCAAAGTAGGCGACCTCATCTACGCACAGGCCTACGCGCCCGCCCTAGAGAAAATGATCGACGTCATGGAGCGCGGCGTCACCCGCGAAGCCGATCTCCAGAAGAAGAAGCGCCAGCTGGAAGAGGAGACTCTCAAGGCGAAGAAATACAAGAAGCACTCTAAGGATAAGGCCGCAGAGGCTGCGGCGACTATTGCGGCGCTGACGGCTAGCATTGCTGCTGATGAGGATCCTGAGAGGAAGTCTGTTTGGAGTGCTAGTGAGAGTGAGAGTGGATGGGAGACTAGTGATGCTGAGTAGATCTTGCATGTTTGGTATATCGGGTTTAATATATCAAGTCTGGCGGTTGTATCAATACAGGATTAATAGAAATATACCATCTCAAGGTGTATTGCATTCCTGCTCCTACACTAAAATTGATCTCAACGTCCACTCTTTATAGCGGGGAACTTGAATGTCTTGGACTTTCATATGTAAAAAGGGTGACAGTAACACTGCCGAGATTTGAGAGATTTGGTGGAATTGAAGCGCTTGATAGTGTTGTAAACGGCCTATCGGAAGCACCTAAAATTGCGGGTAACTTGCGCCTTATTTTGCCCCCGTGAAAGATTGGAAAGATTCTGAAAGCTCTGGATTTAAACCATGATTTCCACTAATTTCTGTGCTAAAGGCGCACATTTTGGTGGTGTTGGGGCGGAAACAAAAGCATCAACAGACTTTTGGCAGGGCATGTATTAACCATCGTTTCCACATATATAAACTAGGTACGCTATTATATGGAGCTCTTTAGAATGAGCCAGGAACATTTAGCTTTGCACACTGTCAGTAATCTGCACTGACAGTACTGGAAGCCTCAACATGTCTGACGATCTGAGACAACGTGGTCTGTCCACCATGACAAATGAGTCATCGTTCAATGCCAAGGAGATTCGGGCGAATCCAAGTCACAATTAAACATACTTGGCTCACTGTTTAACCAATCCTTGGCGATTTAATCAAGAGCGACTCCGCAAAAACGCGGCTGTGGACGGACACATGAGGGGACAAGTATGCCGACATCGGGCTAGGATAGCGTCATCTATACAGTTAAGATCGCTATCCAAGGCCTCTTTCATGGTACTCACACTTTTAAATCAGTTTAAAATCTAAGGGGCACACTTTCAAGATGCCGTCCACATTGAATATTGCGCAATTGAATAACAATCCCTCTCCTCGCCGGATCATTATCATTGGGGGAGGCATCGTCGGCGCAGCACTCGCGTTCCATCTTTCCAAAGCCCAAAGCGAAAATCATATTACACTCATCGACAAAAGCCTAGAAATCCTACTCGGCTCCACCGGTCACGCTCCAGGATTTGTTGGCCAACTGAATGAGTCGCCTGTCTTGACTCGATTGGCTAAAGACACCGTCCAGGACTACCTCACAATTCCAGGTGGCTTTGAAGCAGTCGGCGGCTTGGAACTTTCTTCTACGTCTTCTGGGTTGGAGACCTTAGAGCGCCGGCAGAGAATAGCACAGGGGGCTGGTCTACCTGCGGAGCTTCTCAGTCCAGAGGCGGCCACTTCTCTCGCCCGGGACTTTATCCACGCCAACTCGATTAAGCACTGTCTGCATTTCCCATCAGATGGAACCGCCAATGCAGGCGTCATTACTTCCTACTATATCCACCAAGCTCGCGCCAGAGGGGTCGATTTCTTAGAGGCCGCTGTAACAGGATTTGCGACCAAGAAGGAGAACGAAACGACAAAGATAGCGACTATTAAGACAGGTAGTGGAGATATCAACTCGGAAGACAGTACTGTGATTCTCGCCACTGGGATCTGGACATCTTCATTGATTTGCAACGGCAGCACCCCTGTTACGCAAGTGCCAATTCCCATTGTCCCTGTCGCACACCCTTACACCTTTACTCCACCTCGGGCTAGACGTGTCGGTACCCCGTACCCGTTCGTTCGCTGGCTGGACCATCACGTCTATGCAAGGGACCACGGAGATCGAGATGGTCTAGGCAGTTATGGTCATCCCCCGGTGCAGCTTGATCCCACTGAAAGCGCGATTGGAGCTTGGCCATCAGGCTTCGATCAAGTGCTGTCAGACGCCTCTTCGCACTTGAAAAACAAAACTGAGTTCCAGGTCCAGGGACAGGATACAGACCCAGAAGAGCCTTGGGCAGCGGACAAGCCATTCAATGGTATCTTTTCTGTCACGCCCGACAACTTGCCCTTCGCTGGTCGGGTTCCTGATGTTGCAAATCTATGGCTCGCCGCCGCTATTTGGGTTACAACCGCTGCTGGTACTGCTAAGTTATTGGCAAGAGAGATTCTTGCCGATGGTGAGCATTCGACGACTTCAGAAGACAAGGCTCTGCTGGACGCCCTGAATCCTGCGCGGTTCCAAGGCGTCGCAGCGGATTTGCTTCTGCAACAATCATTGTCCAAATATAATGATATCTATAACCGGGAGACCTAGACTGATTTGAATGGCTCAAATATTCTTCGAGGTTGAGCTGTCTTCTACAAGCTTTATGTTTCTTCAAATTGGTTTGGGTGATCGAAGACAGTGTGTTCAAGATGACCTCAACCCAACAAGTGACAGCCAGCAGTTGAGAGCCTATTCTCATGGTCCAATATATTTGTTTAGTATAGGCGACGAGGACAAATGTGATCACTTTCCATCCAATTTGCCCGCTCCAGCAAGGGTCCGCACATTTTTACCTTTTTAGTACAGCGGAGCCCTTGATCACTTTCAGTACATGCGGTCCTGCCAGATATTTCCCTCTTCCATACATGTAACAATATTAGCTGATTGTGATTCCAGTTGTTGTTCAACTATTTTGTACTTTCAGTTTCTTTGGCTTACCGATAAAGCCCTAAATATGTCCTGTTTCTATTAGAGCTGGCATGAACTTTCCACCCGGGGACCTCTGGCGACGCTGACAGGAAAAATCATGCAAAGTATATCTGGAGAATAACATAACGAGATAAGCCCATGCAATTCATGCGCTAGTAGAGGCCAAAGTCGTCAGAGGAAAAATGCACCTGGATTTCCACCCCAAACACGGTGAAAGCAATCGAGTGTAAACCAACCAAAGAAGCTACCCGACGCATCTATCTGGTCCTCATTCATGGATGCAAGCTTGCCCACTTCGAAGATCTGCCTTCCATACAACAAGCATATCCAATTCAGCCTCCATTTCATACCAGCCAATTCCAACTCACTGCCTCGCCCTGCCCTGCCCTAACGCGCATGGGCCTCATACCCATGGAGTCCCCGACGAACCCCGAGAGCACCGGCGAATTCGTCTGTTCCTCATAGCAGCCACTGCTGTCTGCACAGTCTTTTACCGCATTCCTGGCACAAGCTTCTCACTTTATCCAAACGGCACTCACACTTCTGACCCCTGCTCACACGGCTTTAAAGTCGCGCCCACCCTGAGCTCCCCCACAACGCGCTCATTTCATAGACTATATAGTCATCTCTGACCCGTAACCTGCTACATACGACCATAGGGCGTGGCTTCCCGTCCGCTCAGCCGTACTTAAGCCTAGTATTCTGCACGGTCAATACTCAATGCGCCTTTAGACCCAAGCGGCACTCTAGGGTGAGTGTAGGTGATATGGGTGAGAAGTCTCGAGACTGAGGTGACAGAGGTGAGAACGGGGTGACAATTCTCACCCTCGGGGTGATAGGGGCCAACTCACTCTAAGCATATGCTATAATAAGAAAAAGACATAAATGTAACCCTTAAGGCCCTTCCTTTACTCTACTATAAATTTATTAGAGTTCCTTGACTATCAAAATCATATTATCTAAAAGGACTCTCGAGGAAACACTTAAAACGGGATAATACTATCTTTTTACCGCGTAAACTATAACCTTTCTACTATACACTTTACTTACTAATTAAGTCTAACTAGATTGTTAAATTCGGACTATTATTGTTTTTAGTTAGTTAGAGAATTTTACTATTATAAATTTACTAGTATACTCGCTAACGTATTTCACTCCCGAGTGACGCACAGCACCGAGTGACGCAGTCCGATACACATAGTAAATGAGATAAATTACAACTTGATATCTCAACAACGGTGGTCTATTGGGGCGTTTCCTTGTAGGCTA